GCCCCGGGCTCAGCGCTGGGCTCTGGTCTCTCTCTGCAGTTTGCCTTGGGCGTGGCCCTGCTCAACATCCGCATCCCCCTGCTCCTGGGGGAGCTGGTGAACGTGGTGGCGCGCTGCACCCAGCAGCATGTGGGGAACTACCTGCGGGAGGTGCGCCGGCCTGCCCTCCGCCTGCTCCTGCTCTACAGCCTGCAGGTGAGCTGGGGGGCTGTGAGCTGTCGGGCTTGCTGAACACCCCCCCGTCATCTCTAGCAGAAACGTGCAGCCACTGTCCCAGACCACCACAGGGGCCAATGCTGTACCCAGATCTAAAAAAGGCCCTGGGGTGATCCAGGGAATTAGAGCAGTCAGCCTTACATCTATCTGTACCCGGCAAACTGTTGAAATGATCATTAACAATAGTCTATTAAAAGACCAGGAAGAACTGGGTTTCACAGGGTCTAACCAGCGTGATTTTTGCCAAGGAAAATCACGCCTCACTCATCTATTGAACCAACTGACGTAATTTAGACTTTCAAAAGGCCTTTTCCAAGGTCCCCCACAAGAGGTGACTAAAGAAGCGAAGTCATCCTGGGGTGAGAGAGACAGTGCTGTCGTGGATCGAAGGCTGGCTGGGCACAGAAAGCGAGAGCAGGACTGAAGGACAAGAGGTTAACAGCGGGGCCTGAAGGCTCCAGGCTAGGTCCCGTGTTTAATGAATTTATCAGTGGTCTGGAAAGGAGGCTAAGCAGGGAAGTAACAGCATTGGCAGCTGCTAAGTTATTTAGGTGAGTCAGGCCTAGAGAGGGCGGTGAGGAACTCAGAGATCCCAAGCCCAGCTGGGTGAAAGGGCTGCAGGACAGCCAGTGAAGTTCACTGTTGATAAATACTAAGTAATGCGCATTGGAGGGGAAAATACACCTCTACCCCGATAGAACGCGACCCGATAGAACACGAATTCGGATATAATGCGGTAAAGCAGTGGGGCGGGCGGGCGGGGGGCTGCACACTCCGGCGGATCAAAGCAAGTTCGATATAACGCGGTTTCACCTATAACACAGTAAGATTTTTTGGCTCCCGAGGACAGCGTTATGTCGAGGTAGAGGTGTACCAAGGACTTGTCCACCTGACAGGGCTCGACATTAACTGTGTCAGCCCGGGAAAGGGATCTGGGCGTCACTGCCGACAGCTCAGTGGAGATCTCTGCTCAGTGCACAGCTGAGGTGATGCTGGGATGCTTAAGGACTAGGGTGGTGAATAACAGAGACTATTTGAATGCCTTTTTATAAGCCAATGGCGCAGCCTCATCCGGATCTTGTGTGCAGCACGGCCGCTCTGTCCCAGACGGGATATTGCAGATCTAGAGGGGGTTCAGACAAGGGCCACAGAGATGACCCCGGACCTGGAAACGCTCTGTTACAAAGAGAGATTGGAATGACTGGGATTGTTACTGTAGAGAGGCGGCGTGAGAAGTCTATAAAATAACGACTGGCCTAGATCAGTGGGATCGTGCCTGGCGGTGCTCCCTGACTCATAACACAAGGGGCTAGTCCATGAAATTAAATGGTGGGACGTTCCAAACTGATCCGAGGAAATACAGTCCCACAATGTGCGATTGGATTGTGGAACTCTCTGCCACAGGAGGTTGCTGAGGCCAGGGCCTGAGGAAGATTCAGAGAGGAGGTTTATGTAGGTACCAAGAATACCCAGGTAGAGCCCCGGGCGGGACTGTTGTTTAATCCCTCTCCGCTAGTATGGCAGCGGGGGCCGCGGGATCCCAGCCCCGCAGCAGGGCTCTGCACTAGTCCCGCGCAGGGTGCTACACCCAGGAATGTTTTCAGTCCTGGCACCACCTGTGTGGCAGGGATGTGAAAGCCGCTGCTGGTCCCTGCCTGCTGGGGTTGGGATGAGACTCCAGGAGGGGCCGGTCACCCCAAATCTGCGGCGGTGGGGCTCCCGCAGACGCTGTTGGGCAGGGCGCTGGGCTGGCCTCGGGGCTGACCCGCTGTGACCATTCCTCCATCTCCAGGGGTTGCTGACCTTCAGCTACATCGTGCTGCTGGCGCGGGTCGGGGAGCGGGTTGCCGGCAGCATGCGCAAGACCCTCTTCACATCCCTGCTGCGGTAAATCCTCCTGCTCGGGGGGGTGATGCCTGCAGGGGAAAGGGCAGGAGTGGGCGTGGGGGGGGCTGGGGGCAATGGCTGCAGTGGGGGGGTATGTTTGGGGAGCAAGGGGTGGGGGAATGACTGGGGTTGCTTGGGAGGAAGGGGGTGTGGGGTGGTTAGGGGGGCTGGAGGGGTGGGAGGGGTTGGAGGCAGCAGCTCCTGCAGGCCCTGCCCCCCAGCCCCTGTCTCCCCCCCACAGGCAGGACGTGGCGTTCTTTGATGCCAACCGGACAGGGCAGCTGGTGAATCGGCTCACGACCGACATCCAGGAGTTCAAATCCTCCTTCAAACTCGTCATCTCCCAGGTGAGGCCGATCGGAGCAGCCCTGGGTGTCCCCCCCCCGGGCAGCCCCGTCCTCTCCCAGCCACCCTGGGTGCTGAGTGTTCACGTGAGCCCCACCCTTGGCCTCTCCTGGCACTGCTGGGAGGGCCTGGGGACCACGCGGGATCCCGCTGACTGAGTCTCTGCCTCCAGGGCCTGCGCAGCGTCACGCAGACTGTGGGCTGCTTCGCCTCGCTCTACCTGCTCTCGCCCAAGCTGACCGGGCTCCTGCTGGTGGTGATGCCCAGCCTGGTGGGCGCCGGCGCCCTGATTGGTTCCGTCCTGCGCAGCCTATCCCGCCAGGCCCAGGAACAGGTAACACCCCCTGTGACGTGTTCAGTCACAGAGACCCCCTTGGGACTATCACTTGACGTGCTGAAGTTACCTCTGAGCCCGTTTTCCCTGCTAGCTCAGGACTCCAGAACCCTGCCTTGTGGAGCCAGACACGCTAGCCTGCTACAACCCAGACCCAGGGTCTGGGCAACGCCCCCAAAGCTGCAG